GACGAAAAGTTCGAATAAAGCGAACTTATGCGCTCCCGTGTCAACTTTATATACGATGAAACACTAAATATCGTTGAAAATTTTTAGAAGGGTCTAAAATATGNTCTACTAAAATTCCGATCTAGATATCATTTTTTCTAATCACAGATGCTTATTTTTCCTCAATAAATTATCAATTTAAATGTGATTAAATAATAAAGAACAGATTGAAGATATATATATATTTTTTTATTTAATAGCTGCAATAATGTGATCATGTTATAACTTATGGGAGTAGAGAATTTCATTAAGTAACTGCTGCGATGAATTTTTCCTAGAGTTTCTTACCAAGGAACAAACATTAATGCTCAGCATGTGCGAAACTACTAAAACCTTTCAACAACTTTCTTATTATTATTATTATTTTATATATATATATATATATATAGTAAATCCTATGAATTCTTAATTTACGTTCTTATTCCATGCTTAAAACACATGAAAGTTTTCTAAAGAGAACAATAAAATAAATACAGAAGCTAGAATTATATTTATTTAAATTATAAATGAAAGTTTATAAGTGTTAGACTATATATTATATTTCTTTCCCCCTTCTAAAGTTATCCTATAAATTATTAAATAATTCTTTATGTTAAGGATAGGAATAATGATTCTTTTATGGTAACTGTTTAAGAAGTAAATATGGTTGTTTAAACAAGTCGAGAGGATTACACGTATCCTGCAGAGATGGATAATCACTCGATTAAATATTTATCAAGGGAGTAAATTTAAGAAAAAATGCGTAAGAAATTGTAATTTTTAAATAATATTTTCTTATATACACGTTAAAAAAAAGGGGGGAGATAATCATTTCTAGTTCCTCTACAACGTCAACAAATGAGTGTTTTAAGTATTCAAAACAAAGATTAATTAACCGGTCGAACATGTATAGTTATACATTATAAGGTCGCGGATACATCAAAGTGTTTAAAGAAACAAAAGCGGCTTCTAAATAGAATCTATCTAATTATATCGACGTTGTGGAGCCTGTCTTTTAAAATGTTACAGGATAAAGTCATCTATAGAAAAGGAAAATTGCCTGAAAATTTATTGACACCTAAAGTTGATGACCTCCTGTATCTTCGGTATCGATTATAGGTTTATATATATTAAATTCGTATACTTTATTAGTATAGATCTTTACATTAAGTTGAATCAATAATCATAGAACTTATAAGTATAATGAATCAGAAGTTTTTTTTTTTTTTTTAGAATGCGGACAATTTTTCTAATCTGAGTTGAGATTACGGCATTATGTTTATTATATGACTTTTAGAAACGTGTGGAAAGTAATGGAGAAGGGGGGTTTTTAGAAAGAAGGCAAGAGAAGATGAGGAATTTAAGAAACGAGTTCTCAGATGCACGAGCGTGAATAAAGCTGTCAGAAAAGAATGCGACGAAGAAATGCAGCATGATTAAAATCTCTCATTGTTCATCTATAAAAGAATAATATGGATTATAAGATTCGTTCTCTTAGAAATATTTGAAATCGCCGCATTTTAAAACGTATCGCTATTCAGAATATGAATTCTCAACTTAGGAAGAAAAAAAAGGGGGAGAGAATATTCTCGTGATGTTTTATTAACTCTCGTGTGAAATTTAGTACTAGCAGAAAGAAGATAAAACTGTGAAGTATTTAGTTTATCCACTAAGAAGGATTTTTCTTAAGATTCCACATGAATTCTGTAATGTATATCTAATTATACTGATCTAAAATAGAAATCATCTGATAACAAACTCATATTGAATAATGGGGGGAAAATCGATTCCATATCTGGTCTCGATTTTCATCTATTTAACTCATTATATTACAATAAAATTAATTAAACTTAATTTAAATATCATTAACCGTTCTATTCTAATGAATCGTTAATCAGTTAGTATCCTTCAGAAGGTTTCTTCTATCTTTATAGCATCAGTGTGTGATTATTATCAAATTAATTACATTGTAATTAAATGGTTGGCTTTAAAATTAATTACTTCATTATAACTGTGAAAGTGTAAATAATTTAAAATAAAATTTATCAATTTAAATTTATTTGTTACATATACAAGAGCAGACCTAAATATAGAGCGGGCCAGTGGATCCACCCTTTTAATCTAGTATTTAATACGACGAAAGATCCCACAAAATTTTATATTTTAATGTAAAAAAAAAACATGATACATGAGTGATATAAATTAAAATTTCTTTTGATAAACGATGTAAAATGCATTATTACTTCTTTTATTGACTTTACTTACATATTTTTATGACTTTCGGAGCCGTAAAGATATCTCATAAAGATGAGTGGTCCATATTTGTGAATGTTTCCACCTCCTCTCATTTCATAATCAAACAGAATAAAAGTATTACAAACGTAATTTAAACTTTATAATTCGAGAACCAACAAACGAACGTACTACACACTTTATATCAGTTAATATTAATAATTATAAAGTTTAAGATAAGATTTAATAGATTTGTTTTTAATATAAAATAATATGATTAAATTTAATAAATTAATTAATTAATTGTAATTAAGAAGATAGAAAAGTAAGTTGTGTTTGCATTTATATATTTGACAAACAGGAAAAGAAAAGAATAAATCTGTAATATAAATAGAACATCCTTCACTTAATTAAGATAATGAAAATGTCTAATTTTAGAAAAGAATTTCCAGAAGAAAATTATAAATTTTTCTTTATAAAAATAATAAGAACTTTTATGAGATTTATAGGTATATTAATATCTTTATTACTAAGTAACTATATAAAAATTTTATTTTCTTAACGTAAAAAAAAAGAATAATTTTTTCGTATATGTGACGTCAATCTTTTCCTTACTTTTATTTTTTTATTTTTATTTTTTCAACCTTCAAGATTTATGTTTTTTTGTATTTTCCTGTTTTTCCTTACCGTCCAGAAGGGCAATAAGTGATAAGAAGTAAACATTAAAGTTGTGATTTATGTGGCTACAGATAGTTAAGGCGGAGTGGTTTTATGTAAATACCCTTATATTTATCTCGTGTCTAGCACAAGGTCTCTAGCGGTTAAGTTTCCTTACATTGACGATATCATCTATAACATTTGTTGTGAGATTTTTCTGTTGTTTTCTAGTAAATCCTCTAAAGGCAATTCGGTCAATACAGAAAAATAAATGCCCCTTCATAACTCTATGATACATTTTCTCGTAATCTGCGATTAATGGATAACGTTTGTTCGACTGAAATTAAACTTAAAGAAGAGAATATCTATCTTATGTTATGTCCCATTCAGGCTAAACAGAGCGTGTTTATCTAAGAATGAAAACATTTTACAGCAAATTACACGTGATTTTTTTTTTTTTTAATTTTAATATTTTTCTGTGAATTTCTTGTTGCCTTTATAAATATAAATGGATTTATTTTCGTCTTTTTTATAAAAAAAGCTTCGTATATAATCGTTTTGTTTACATTATTTATATGTATTTTAAGTGTCTTAAAATAAAGCTTTTGTAATTTATTAATAGTATTTTATTTTTAGATATTTTTGTATTAAAGGTTCGTCGTGTTTGACTTTTCAAACCTGTAGAATAAATCACACAAATGTGAATTAAGTAGGTACATTTGTAACGTATAGAGGCGTATCTACCTGAGGTACCACCGACGACAAACGAAGGTGTCGCCACCTGCTGACGTAATGGTAATTACCCCCCTCATGGTTTCTACTGCCCACATCAATAGGCGGTGTTTTCAGGATAAACTAAGAAAGAATGTGGGTGACAGGATAAAAGTTGTCGACAAGTTTCACAAAGGAACCTGTTCTGTACACGCAAATTCACTTATTTTAGAGTTTGGTCTGTTTGTCGGGTAGTAAAACAATTATTTACAAATAAGACCGTAATGTGATACAATTTTTTGTTTTTTTTTTTCAAAAGTATTTGGTGTAAAATCTGCATATACCGTAGACACGTAGACAAGAAGATTACTAGAATGTCTCGATATTTTTTTTGTATAGATTTTTTGGTTGATTTGAATAATTTTAGATGGGAACGAACACTAATGAAAACAAAGACTTTGGTGTGGCTTTTTAATTACATTCAGTTGTGGGTAATAATTATATACATAAAATTTTAATGGGCTAAATCTTCATATATATATATGATTAATTATTCGAACATCTCAACAGTTTTTGCGTATATTTTTAGATAGATTTAAACATTATACAGATAATATTTCATATTATTTTTATAAATATTTACATTATAAATCTATTTAAGCTCTTAATGGGCCAAAACTCTTATGTCTTATTATAATATATGAATGGTTTCCTTTGAGTTTTTAGCTTATTTGGATAACTTTATATAGCCTGAAGCCATTATAAAGCAAATATTTGGCGTGACCTTTATAAATATTTCAATCATATTCAATTTAAAGCGTGTTGTGGGCGGTTAAAGTCCATTATTTTTCCATTTTGCATAACTTCTTACCATATCCGGTATATATATAGTTGTAAATAATAGTAAAATGAAACGTTTTGCGGGTGTCAGTGTCAGATTCTTCTGTTAATGCTATCTTTTCAGGTAGCTTTTTGGGTGACAGTTGTGATGGAAGATCACAAGGAGCATACTAAATGCACGTACCGCACGTCAGATAGATTTAAGAGATAGAACTCTACGAGTAGTTTATTCTATCTCGAGAATTTATAGAAAGAGTTAATAACATGAAAGGGGTCTAATTAAATTACGTCGGGTGTTACCAAAACCAGCGCCCTCTTTTGTTAAAAATACATATTAAAAATTGGTTAAAATTTAATTAATTTAAAAGAAATATGTTTTAAGTTTCGTTTAAAAATGGCGTCGAAAGAGTGCTTAATTTATATTTTAAAAAGGAAAAAGAAGAAGAGGAAAAAATAAATAAATAAAGGTAACGACTCACCCCTGTGATTAAGTTTCTGGTAGGAAAGATTAACTCATTTAAAAGTCATCAGCCGGTGCCCCCTTTCTTTGCCGGATCGAAAATTTGTACCCCAATCACCTTAAATGGTGCAGACAGTCTGCGTATCCCCTGGCAACTGTTTCCTAGCAACGGGTTCCTGATCTATAAGCGGCTTCACATCGTGAAGTGCACGTGGTCAATGGAGTTGTGTCGAACTACGCGCGCATTCTTAACAAATCGCGACTGCGTAGTCAAGCTCTCAAAGCCCAGAACAAAACACCTTTCGGGTGTCTAGGAATATGTCAGGTGTGAACTTCTCTTGGAGCCCGCCACGTCCCTTATAGTATGAACGAAGTGAGCGAAGAATCGCCCGATGACTTAGCGGCAGTTGGGCGGCCTAGGTCTTCCTCCTTACCCTCCAGGAGAACCAGCCTGACCCCGCCGCCCAGAGAACGAGAGGTTGATTCGGTCTTGCAGTCGATTGGTCCATATAGAACACCAGAACAACCCAGAGATCGACCGTCTATTCTCAAACACCAAGAATTGAAGAGTTCTACTATCAGGCAACATTATTATCCCGAGGGAGGCTGGGGTTGGGTTATCTGTGCCTGTGCCTTTCTTATTCACTGTATGACTACCGGCTTACAATTGAGTTACGGAGTTCTGTATCTAGAAGTGTTAAGGCAATTCGGTAACGAGAAACTCATGGAAGCTGGTAAGTCAAAAGTTTTTATTTATAAAAACAAATAATAATAATAAAAATTTACTCTTTTCTTCTAATTTTTTTGTTTTAAAGCCTTATGCAAATCAATGGCGAACACTTAATGTAAAATGCCATTAAAGTTAACGATGCCATGCAAAAACACGATTGATTCGATATTTTAATGATGCGTATCATAATTACTGCTTACTACTTTAACTTCAAAGATTAAACTTATCGAAAAACATTCAGAAATTTATTTAAGAGTAGAGACTTAGTTTTATTTATTTTGATAAAAAGGAATCGATTCTGCGATTCTATACAAAAGCTAAAAGACAGAATGATAAGAGAAAAGCCTGGAAACAACATAGTATTTATCCTAAATCGAGTGTAACGACGACCACTATTGATTTAACATTCTATCAAATATACAGAAGTGAAGTTTGTTGTGTATATATATATATATATTTCCTAGAAAAATTGGTTAAGGATCACAGTGTATAAACAATCGATTGTATGTAAGACCCCTGCGCTTTCTAATGTACTGTACACATCGTGATATAATTTCTTTTCAATATGTATGAAGATAACTGATAACAATTAAAGGTTCTCTGTATAAAATAAGAGGATGGATTTCATGCACGATTTTCACTTTACTTCCAGCATCATTATCATAAAAGGTCGCTGATATCATTTGCACGTTTCATCGCTTGGTATAAAGCTTCTATTATAGCACGAAATGCTACTGCTTGTATAACACCCGGATATAATATTTTTTTAATTAAAAAGTATTTTTTACAGTAATAAAAAGAAAAAGTTTATATGATAAGTTGTCTGTGTACCTTTCAAGCCTTATTAAAACAATAAAAAATACTATTTTACTGACTAGTCATATGTAACCATTCGAGATATATAAATAATAAGATATTGCATTGATATACAGATATCCCTGACGTTTATTTTATAAATTTTGTTTAGATTTTGTAATATATTTTCATATTAAATTATTAAAAAACAGAATAGAACGTTGAATTAGATTCTATAAAGCATTATTTGTAGTTATCTGTTGCTCTTATATTATTACTTTAGATACTTTTTCCTCATCATTGAAGCCTCTACAGAATTCTTATCCTATCAAACTATAAAAATAACATTGGAAGGTTGTAAAATTTTATAGCTTATCATTTAAAACGTTAGAGTAAGCATCATTGTTATATATATATATA